CCATTTCATAAAACTATTAATTTTACCCTCAATATTACTGAAAGTTTTAAAGATTAAATATTTTCAAATTCAATATTTCTCAATGTTATATATGAAAATACCCTTGAAATAAACAAATAAAAGATAGTTGAAAAATCCAAAAATTGTCATTCATACCTTATACAATATTAATTTCTTATTTACAATATTTATAAGAATTTTCTTATTTATATATACATATTTACATGCTTATATTTTCATTTTGCATGTAAATTTATATTCTTATTTGTTTATTTTAATTATTTTTTCTTTTTTTAAAACTTTATTTACAATTATTATTATAATTAATTTTTTTATGCAAGCTGAATATCTTATATTCTATTTTATAAACTACACAAACTAATACTTAGTGTCTTTATCACTTTCATTTGTGTTGTCCTCATCTTCCTTTATTTATATTAGTTGATATTAGTGTGATCAAAATATCAACTACTTATCACTATCACTTTTATTTACACACACTATGATATAATTAAATTAATATTATAATTCAAAATTATTTTTATTTTAAATAATTTTAATATTAATTTAATATTGTTTATCACTTTGCACTATATCTATTATTTACTCACTTTATTATTTTTTATTGTTTATTAAATTCACTTTATTTTTATTTACATATTGACACTTGTTTAGATTATTCACTTTTTTCACTGTTATTACATCTTGATATATATTTCTTCAAATTTTGACTATTATACATTCCTTTTTCGATTTTTGATTTTGAATCCCACAGAATGTATGTACCTTTTTTAACAATTTTTTTAATTTCGTAAGGTCCCTCGTAAACTTGAAGAAATTTCGCAATAATTTTATTTTCCTTATCAGATTTGTTTAGTAATTTAATTAGAACTTGATCTCCAACTTTGAATTCAGATAATTTATGCGAAATATTGAACTGGTACCCCTGGTTTGTTTTCTTTCTATATAAACTGACTCATAGTAGATAAGAAATTAAGAAATGAATGCATTTGATTAAATGAATGAAAACATTTTAAACATTCGCGATAAATGAATTTTTTATAAAACATAAAATAAGTAATTTATACTTTTTGACATTAACAAATATAATATATAAAGATGGATAAAAATAATGGAAGTGACCAAAGCAAGCGGGATGCATGCATTATAAATGAATTTATAATTGTTGAATTTTGTAGATGAAAAAAGTATAAATTTAATGAAAGTAAAGGTATAGGAAATTCAAAATAAGGTCAATTGAGTACAAATGTACTGAGATATAAACAGCTAAATATGAAAAAGGCTCAGCTGACTCAAGGCCAAGGTTAGGAAAGAGAAAGGAAAATTTGATATTTCAAAAGTATAAAATGAATTAAGAATTTGAATAAATTTTATATAAATGAATTATAAAAATTTAATATAATATTAATTTTCAATTTAATTTGTATATTTTGTTTTATAAAAATAGTATTAATTTTGTTAATTAAAATCATTTAATTATTTAATTATTGTAACTTATAATAAATAAAGTAATAGTAAAATTTATATCAATAAATAGATAAAAATTAATAGATATTATTAGAAGAATTAAAATGATTATAAGTTTATTATTTAAAGAATTGTTTAAATAAGAAAAAATAAAATAAATCTATGGAGAAAAGTGATTGACAGCTAAACAATGGTATTGTTCTCGGGGAAACGTTAGACACGTTGGCGATCAGAAAGAGAGAAAATATATCTCTATCCTCATTTGGAAATTAGAATATTATTGGTGAAAAGAAATAGACGTTTTCTGAAAAGTGAAAAGTGGGATAGAATTGGCGGTAAGAAATGCATGGCAAAAATGAGCATCCTCTGAAGGTAGGGGTAAGCGCCAAAATCTAGTCAATTATAGGGAAGAAGCTTACTAATACTATTTCAACGTTTATTGACTCGATTTGGCATTTTAACCAAACAGACTGATTCTTTTAAAGTGTAATAATGATGATAACGAACAGGAAATACGGAATTTTGTTAAAATGGAAATAAATGAAATTTGACAAACTGTTGGTCTATTACCATATGATTTAGGATATTTTTTAGGTTAGCGCTGTGACTTATACTCACATTCCCCTTAGCATTCTTATATCATATAACTGATATAATAGAAAGAATGTTATTGTTAAATTTAAAAGGACATTGTTTCCTAAATTTAAAGATCCTCTAACAATGAGGCACGCGTCAAACTATATCAACTGATAAGATTTGTTTTGACAACATATAGTAATATATTTAATGAATGAAATTATGTAATCTGTATTTCTCTTTAATTTAATATTATATTTTATTTTTGAGAAAATTTGTTGCTTTGTAACCAAATTAGAGGAATCTGCTCCAATAATTATTCGGTAATTCAGCTTTTTATTCTTTCTAATTCATCCACTACTAAATAATATAATTTTTATCTTCTGTTCGTAGGATAAATATATAAAATAATAAATTAATAAATTAAAGTTAAATTATAATAATTAACACAATTATTTAACTATAAAGAAATCTTATCTTATGATATAGTTTTTATTCATAAATAATTTTGTAAGTTCGGTTGCTATTTTCCATATAAATTAACTCAAAATCAACAAAACAAAATAAATAATAAAGTTCATTCACCTCTGAATGTATTCCCTTCTCTCGCCTATGAACGGTAATTTCTCAATTCTTTCCTTATAACAATTCTATAAACAAAAATTCAAACAAAATTCAATAATAAAAATTTATAAATTCTGCCTACAATTACAAGGACAAGTTTTTCCTATTCTCTAAATTAACTATTTTCTAACTAAATAAATATTCTTCATAAATATAAATTATGCAATTATTGATTTATTTAGGATATTATAAATTATAATATCGAAAAATGCTCAACATTACTTTAATTTACTTAAAGAAATCTATTTATTTCTCTGAAAATTTAACTGAATAATTAATTTAAATGAATTAATTATTTCTTATTATAAGTAATAACTTGGGTGTATTAGGAACAATATTTATTGAATCTTTCAAACTGCCACATCGATATAGCCTATTACTATATGAACACAGCTCATAAGAATATTCAATAAACTTACGATTTGCTTTTTATACCATTTAAGGATTCAGATTATGAGGTGGAACAAAGATTTCTCAATAGCCCCTCAACACTTTCACCATGGCTTGACTTTGTAGAATTTTTAAAATATAATTAATAATTTAATGATTAATAATTATATTATTTATTAAGAAAAACTAATTGTATATCGTTTTTATAGTACAGGTGGAACAAATATTTCTCAATAGCCCCTGTACTAATTATGTTATGTGTATAAATGTAGTATAAAAATTATAATCCAGGTGGAACAAAGATTTCTCAATAGCCCCTGAATTACAATTTAAGTGTATTACCTTTGTTAATTGCTTTCAAAATGAGAGAGCGACGCTTCTATTTTCAGGGTTTATATAGTCGTGATCAACCCCCAGATTTACAATTCTTGTATAAAATTCAAAAACTATATTAGTGTACGTAAAACTCTTTCCTTTTATTGACTGAAATTCAAAACTTTTCCCTACCCTTTAGGGACGCTCAGTTTTGCCATGCATTTCTTACCGCTAATTCTATCCCACTTTTCACTTTTCAGAAAGCGTCTATTTCTTTTCGCCAATAATATTCAAATTTTCAAATGAGGATAGAGATATATTTTCTCTCTTTCTGGTCGTCAACGTGTCTAATGTTTCCCCGAGAACAATACCATTGTATAGCTGTCAATCACTTTTCTCTATAAATTTATTTCATTTCTTTAAACTTAAATAATCCTTTAAATAATAATATTTTCATCATTTTATATTTTGTTAACAATATCCATTAATTTTTATCTATTTATTGATATAAATTTTACCATTACTTTATTTATTCTAACAAATTATAATTAAACAATTAAATAATAAAATTAATACTATTTATAAAAAACAAAATATACATTTTAAATAGAAAATTAACATTGTGTTAATTTTTAATAATTTATTTTTTTAATATTTATTCAAATTTCTAATTAATTTTATAAATTTGAAATATCAAATTTTCTTTTCTCTTTCCTAACCTTGGCCTTGAGTCAGCTGAGCCTTTTTCATACTTAGGTGTTTATCTCAGTACATTTGTACTCAATTAACTTTATTTTGAATTTCCTATACTTTTAAATTTAACAGAATTATATTTTTTTTATCTACAAAATTTAATTATATTAATTTATTTATAATTATTAAATTTTTAATTTTGACTATTGAAATACAGTTTCACCCATATTTTATGTGACTTCGTTATCATTAAAGAAATAATTAAAATTTCATGCGACATCTTAAATTTGATTTGTTTACTTTCTGCAGTTAAATTGTACCTTGCGTAATTTTCGTGGATTGTTATTTTTTTAATTTATTTTGCATATTTAAATACATAGTAACTAATCCAATTTATAAAAAAGCTTGGTTACAAAATTATTTGTCAAAAATTCTATTCCTTTTAATGCGCTTCTGAAACTCGAAGATGTCAATTGAGAGGAATAATCATTTCATATATACTCATCGAATATTCTATTCTTTAGGATTGACTACCGAGAAATATACAGTGTCAATTAAAAAGTATAAAATTCCAAATTTTTTATAAATTGTTGAAAACCCTGTATCTTTATGCATTCAGAAAAATAGAAACTTTCAATTCTTTTTTATCGCCTGATTGATTCGAGCAATAGAAAAGAATTAATTTTTCTAAAATTTTAACGTTTACCGTGGATAGACGTCGAAGGTGAATTCGCCTATTCAGAAGAATTAAAAAATCCTCGTTTAAAGCAAATTTTCTAGAAATTTAATTATTCTCTACTCCTCTCTTCTTACCAAAATATTAGTCAAAAGTGAAATTTTAAAAAAATTTAATTAACTATAAATAAATTGAATGATTTAATTATAAAAATATTTTAAGTATTGATTGTACTTACAGCAAATATTTGTCCCTTTCAAAAATGTTTCAGAATCAATGACTTGATTTCCTGCCTCGTCAACACACCAACAAGTTTCTTCTGCACATTGTGTTGGTTCAAACCTTCCCATTCTGTCACAAATGGCTGAAACATGTCCTTTCTTTTTCATGGCGCGGCACCTTGTTTCAAAAACTTTAACATTTTTTTCTTTGCTTTCTAAGCCCATAAATGTACTTTCTAAGTAATCCTTAATAGATGTATCTATTCCCATTGATCCATTTCCACTCCTAGCTTGTCGGAAATTACATTTTGGTTCTCCTCCGCGTGTTAAGGATCCTTTTAATGGATCGCCTCTTCTGTTAACACACCAACACAATCCTACATGCTCGAGACACTGAATTGGTTCCCATGTTCCTGAGTCTGAATTGCATCTGGAATAACATTTTTAAAAATTGATTCAAGCAAATAGAAAGATTTGAAGTTAATAAATTAAATGTTAAAATATTAAATTATATATTATATTACAGTGGAACCTCGATTATCCGAACCGAGAATCATTTTATCTAAACTTCTGTTATCCGAACTTTTTTTGGCCTCCCGAATTGTTTGACAAATTTTGACGTCTATGTCAAAGCTGCCCTCAAACTTGACCTAAATTTTGAGGGTAGCGGGAATTCTTTGTCAAATTTTGATGTGTAGGCCCTCAAAATTGACCTAAATTTTGAGGGTAGCGGAAATTGTTTGTCAAACTTTCACGTCTAGGTCAAAACTGCCCTCAAAATTGACCTAAATTTTGAGGGTAGCGGGAATTCTTTGTCAAAAAATAGGTCAATTTTGACATAAGTTTTGACGGCCCCTTTCGGATAGGGCGCCTCTACAGAATCTTGAAACAGCGGCGGCGGTGATATCTTTTTATAAAATAGACAGATATACTTCCGTATATTTAAAAATGTATTAAATTAAATATATATAGTTCAACTGTCCAATTTTTTTACTTTAATTATGAATAAAATTAAAATTTCTATTATCCGAACTTTCGATTATCCGAACATGGCTTTACCTAGGTTTGTTCGGATAATCGAGGTTCCATTGTATGTATAATTAAATATTAATTAATATAAATTGCATTATACAATAGTAAATTGATAATTAAAATTATACTTCACACTGAAAGACTGTTGACAGAATAGTTGTGTCATTGACTGTTGTGAAGCGCTATACAGTAGGGCAAAAAACACGCTTTTGGACAAATTGAATTTTAGACCACAATTTTTAACCGATTTAGTGACCCAATTAGTGACCAACCATACATCTAAGAAAATAAGTATTTGATTCATAAGCAAATAAAAAATAAAAACCTTTTTAAATTTTTTTCATTATTATTATTATTATAATTTATACCTATTATTTGAGAATTATTTATATAAACTACACAGCCCCACAAAAAAAGAAAAGTAACCTGCGCGAAAGCCCACAGTACCATACCCCTATGTATTTTGATGCGCTGAACACGAATCCGAAGTCAGATTTGCTCCATCACGTCAGGATTTTTTTCTAACCTCAAAAAACTTGTCAGATTTTATGTAATTTATGTAAAATACAAAATTTTTTAAAAATTGATTAGATTTGTCTCAAAATTGTTTCTTGGGGGTTTTTAAGATCGCTGATTACGAATCAGTCAGATGTTAAAAATTCAATATGGCGGTCATTTTTTTGAAAATTGATTTATTTTGCTTTAAAATGGGTACTCAGTGGTTTTTCGGATCACTGATAACAAATCTTCAATTAGATTTTGAAAAATCAATATGTCCGTTTGAAAATAATGTAATTTTTATTTATGTCTGTTTATGGTAACGGACTCGTTTGGCTTCGAAAGACCTGTGCAGTAGTTTTCTTTTTAAGTTTACTCTTCCTGGAACAATATCCCTTTTTAGCATCCAACAATAGTCAGCCATCATATTTACGTCCCATCTGCCTTGATATCTGCTCTCCATTTCATTAATATCTTGATGAAACCGTTCTCCCTGTTCCTCGCTGTAGTCTCCTAAATTTTTGGGAAAGTAACTCAGATGTGAATGTAGGAGATGGAGCTTCAAACTCATCAAGCATCCCAATTTTTGAAAGTTTTTGATCATACCATTCACTATTAGTTCCCAATTCTCGCTCTTATGGTTGCAAAGAAAGTTTTCAATAACTCCCTTAAAACTAAGCCAAATGCAGCTTTCTCTTTTTTACTCATTACTGTGATAAATTTTTCATCTTTTACTAGTTTGCGAATTCGAGGCCCAACAAAAATTCCTTCCTTTAATTTAGCATCAGATATCTCTGGAAATTTTTGTTCCAGGTACTTGAAACATTTCCTTTCTTTATCTAAAGACTTTACAAACTGTTTCATTACCCCTAGTTTAATATAATGTAAAGGTGGTGGAATTACCTTTGTAGGATCAACTAGAGGTTTTTTTATTTAATATTTTTGGAACCTGGTGTAAAGGATGTTCTTTTGGTCCATTCTTTTTGTACGTAATGTTTTTTTCGATCTCTACTGTCCCACAAACATAAAAAGCAAGGTGTTTTCGTAAAACCTGCTTGTTGGCCCAACATGATACTTATAATTTTAAAATCTCCACAAATTTGCCAATTGTGTTCTTTATATTTAATTTTCTCCAAAACTAATTTAACAGTTTCATAATCTTCTTTAAGTTCAGTGGAATGGGCTACGGGAATTGAAGCAAAAACATTAGTGTTATGAATTAGCACTGCCTTTAGACTTCTTTTAGAAGAGTCAATGAATAACGTCTAGTCTTATGTTGATCTTCATATATGTTTGGTTTCAATTCATTTATTAGTCCTTCAATGTCAGAACAATATACTAATGAAAGCTCATCGTCTTTTGTAAAATATTTCCGAAATTCCTTTTCTCTGTCACGATAAAAGTAAGCTGTGGTGCCTTTAGATAACAAATTTTTCTTTTTTAAAACTGAAGCTAGGTATCTAGCTCCATATTCTATTTTTGCATTTTTCTATCTAGCTGATATTCTGCTCCATTTTTGGGTAATTTCAAATCTCTGATGAGGTTGCTAAGCTCTTCTTGCGTAAAGCCTTCTTTAACCTTTTCTTCCTGATAACCATCTGGAATATAAATATCATCATTGTCTTCTACAATATTACTAACCGCATCACTTATATCGGAAAGTACATACTCTAATGGTGAACTGTCGATTTCCATATTTTCAGAAGAAAGAGTTAAGTGACTTAAAATTTCGGGTTTTTTCACAGATACTACACATGCGTAAATTATATTCTTTTTATTATTTATTATAGCCTTTTACATTGGTCATGCAAAAGTAGCAATCTTCTCGATTCAATGGTTTTTTCCACAATGTTGGTTTTTTAAACTTCAGGTGTTTATCCTCTTTCATATCATTCCAACGAGTTAACATTGTGTAGCAGGAACTGCAGATTGTATTTGGAACCCATTTTTCATTCTGATTGACTATCTCAAAATCAAAACAATCTTTGTAAATTTGTTTAATGTTTTCATTGATTAATTTGCGATTTTTCGGGATATAAAATTGTCCGCATACGTAACAAAATACATTTGCTTTGCTGTCACATGTATGTTGTGAGGTTGACACTCCAAAAAGAACTTTTGAAGCGTTTTAAGTTTTTTTATTGTTTTGATTTTTGAAAGCCATGATATTTAGGAAAATGACCGCACGCTAGGGATCCTGGTCCGATCGCAGGCGAGTCCACCGTCCTAGGGGTGATAACCCTCATACCTCCCTAGGCCTAAGTATGAGAGCTTTCCGACTTTGACGAGGACATTATCAACTCGTCGTCGGACACACTACGGTATCATCCTCACACCCTAACGTCCCCCTGCAAGGCAGCGCGCCTTCGCTGGCTTCGTTACTTCGTAGACAGGAAGCAAATCATTCTACACATCCCATTTCGGGACAGTTGTCGTCACCTACTACATCTATCGAAGCAGCAGGATTAATAGACCTTTTCATTTAAGGAATCTGTACTGCGCAAGCGCGGAGTATATATATAACTTCCAACAAAGTTTCGAGCACTTTTTGTACAAAATGCACAGTGCCAATAGTGAAAAGTAATTAAAAAATATTACTAATAAATGTAGAAAAAAAAATTAGCGTGTATTGAAAATGAGCAGTATCCCTGAGAAAAATAATCCACAAAGGAAAAAAATTGATGCAAAAAAAATATTGTTTTGGGAATTGCAAAAGTGATGCTCGTTGCAAGTCTTATTGGATTGAAAATTATTACTTTATTTCTTACCCAAAACCGTTTAACATTTAGAAAATGAAATATTAGGAATGAAAATATTCGAAGTAATTGCAAAACTTGTCAAGTATATCGAAAATGAGACCTTTGGGTAAGGTTATGTTCATAACATAACATAACCTTATTTACATGTAAACAATATAGACTTTTTTACCCTTTAAACACTGACTTCGGCTTTATAACCATATTTTTAATTCACAGCTACAGTATTTTTCTCTACCTGTTCAAACATTAATTTAGCTTCTGGAATATCATTTTCATCGAGTTTTTTATTTGAATTGTTATTAGCACAATATACATTCTGACACAAAGTTGCTCGAAAATTTTGAAATCGCGCCGTCTGTCATGGCGTAGCTTCAACTTCCGGTCTTAAATGAAAAGGTCTATATTGTGCCAAAGCACAATGGAAATACAATACAGTATTATGTCCTAGCAGGCCTGCGTTCAAGAGAAAAGTATTCTGCAATTGTTGAATTGAACTTCATCCAGAAATTATGCCTAATTCTCTAGAAATGTTCCTAGATGTCGTCTCGATAAATACATTTTAATTTAGGCATTCAGGTTACCAAAAATCTGCATTTCCTGCTGCATAAATGTTTACCAACAAACTTTTCGAAACTTTTAAATTCACCGACTCCCAAAATGCTTGCATATCAAGTCATATTGGACCAGTTGTTAGAAATTTTTAAAGTCTGATTTGAAATTTGTGATCAGCGATCCGAAAAACCAGTGAGTACCCATTTTAAAGCAAAAAAAATCAATTTTCGAAAAAATGACCGCCATATTGAATTTTTAAAATCTGACTGCAAATTTGTAATCAGCGACCCCGAAAACCCATATTTACCAAGTAAAGTGAAAATCCACCAAATTTTTAAATTTTGGCCGCCATATTGGATCCGCTATTTTGAATTTTTAAAAACTGACTGCAGATTCGTAATCAGCGATCTTAAAAACCCCCGAAAAACAAGTTTGAGAAAAATCTAATCAATTTTTAAAAAATTTTGTATTTTACATAAATTACATAAAATCTGACATGTTTTTTGAGGTTAGAAAAAAATGCTGACGAGATGGAGCAAATCTGACTTTGGATTCGTGTTCAGCGCATCAAAATACATAGGGGTATGGT